GACTCAATATGATTAATCTGGGACGTGATTTATGCAATATTGACTTTAGTCCAGTTTTTGATTCTGCTGATGCTGACGAATCAATGGATTATGTTATTAAACATGTACAACTATCTATCTTAAATAATACTAACACAATAACCTTAAGTAAGAAAAATTGCACCATAAAACCGTGGATAACGGAGGGACTTGTCAGGTGTATACGACACCGCGATAGACTACACAGAAAAGCCAAACAAAACCCTAATAACTTAATTATCCAGACAACATATAAAAGATATCGTAATTTCTGCAATAACCTCTTAAAACGTATAAAAAATGAATACGACAAATCACAAATAGCTCAATCCGGAAACAATCCCAAACAACTGTGGAAATATATTAAGTCAGTCACATTCATGACGAAGCAAAATAATTGTGACACTGATTTATTGCAAACGGATCAAACCCCGCTATCATCAGCTAACAACGCAAATAGTTTCTTTGCTAATATTGGTGTGAGGCTAGCGGAAAACATTCAAAGACAGTGTTATAATGACCTCAATACTACGATACCATCTCCGAGGCCATGTATTGGTAGTGGAAAGTCTTTTGTTTTACTAGAACCGGACGAAAGTGAAGTAGAACGAATTATTATATCTTTAAAAAATAGTCCTGTGACAGGGTGGGATAATATCAGCACTAATATACTAAAAACCTTTAGGAACATACTAATACCGCCACTAACTCATATTTTTAAAATTTGCTTTTCTAGTGGTACATTTCCTAAATGCCTCAAGAAAGCAGTAGTAATCCCTATCCATAAATCTGGTACAAAGGACTTGGTAAATAATTATCGGCCTATTTCTATATTGCCGTCAATCTCTAAAGTTCTTGAGAAAATTATAAATAATAGACTAGTCTCGTATCTCGAAAATAACTCCCTTATATCTAACAAGCAATTCGGCTTTAGAGCCAAATTATCGACAGCTGATGCAGTACATACATTAACTGACTATGTATCAGGAGAGCTTGGACAAAGTAAGCAAGTAATGGGAATTTTCCTTGATTTAGCAAAAGCTTTTGATACGGTATCTATCCCATTGCTACTAGACAAACTGGAGGGGTTGGGAATAAGAGGGACACAGTTGGAACTTTTTAGAGACTACTTGCGGGATAGACGGCAATGTGTAAAAATAGGCAACGTCATTAGTTCCGAATTACTGCTACCGCTATATGGAATTCCACAAGGGAGCGTACTCGGAGGAACCCTATTTCTGGTATACATAAATGACCTATGTAACCTCAAACTACAGTGTGGCACTATTGTATCATATGCGGATGACACTGCTCTGCTGTTTTCAGCAGGTTCTCTTACAGAAGTTCAAAGCTGTGCACAGCAAGGGTTTGATGTCGTAAATAATTGGCTTAAAATAAATCTACTAACAATAAATACTGATAAGACAAAATTTATAAAATTTAATATGCGTAAACCTCTAGCACGTAATGAATTTCACTTGTATGCGCATAAATCAGAATGCTCAATCGTGACTAACGCTTGTACCTGTCCGGAAATTGTAATAACAGATAACATTAAGTATCTAGGAGTTATTCTAGATGAAACCCTTTCCTTTAAACAACATATCGCTGCATTAACATCTAGAGTTCGGAAATTGATATTTGTTTTTAAAAAATTGCGGCTTATTGGTGATCACAAGTTAATTATTCAAATTTATAAAGCCCTGTGTCAATCGATAATCCAATACTGCATTACTTCTTGGGGCGGAAGTGGAAAAACATTGATACTTCCAATCGAACGAGCGCAAAGAGCCATCTTGAAAGTCGCCACGCACAGACCGTACCGCTACCCCACAGGCTTACTGTATGAGTCTAGTAAAGTGCTGACAGTGCGACAATTATTCATACTATCCACTGTACTAAAACAGCATACTACACTTACATATGACGCTAACCTCACTAACGCCAAGAGACGGAAAGATATTGTCTGTACTGCTAGCTATGAATCAAAGTACGTATTTACACATAGATTTTTTGCATTTTTAGGGCCATATCTGTACAATAAAATTAATAAAGAAACCTTGGTTTACAATGTAAATTACACCAGAGCAAAACAGCGCATTTCTCAGTATCTACTATCATTAAGTTATGAAAAAAGCGAGGATTTGTTGATTGTCATGAAATAAATAATATATAGATATAAATAGATAATAATTATTTTAATAAATGCAAGTATAAAGTTAGTGTTTCCTAACTTATGTATACATATGTAGGTTTTGTAATTTTTGGTGACTGTAAAAATAATATTGTTAAGGCTTAGTTATATTATCCTAATGTATAATGCACGCGACCACAAAGCCTGTGGTACAGATTTAATTCTATACAGGCATTGTATTGTAACCTACCTAGAATAGTTAAATAATAAGCTTTGATTAAGTACATATATGTGAACAAAATGGAAATAAATATATTTGTTGTTTGTTATTTGTTTGATGTTACCCACTTTTACTCCTAAATCGCAATCAATTTCAATTTTATTATTACAATGAGGTATTTTCCCGTCTCCTACAGATAGTAATTTTGAAGGAAAATTATACTACCTCCCCCCAAATGTGCTCTCATTAAAAGATAGACATACTACTTTCGTGGAATTTTTTTTAGATCATTAAAAGAGCTATTATTCTATTTTATATTATTGTATTTTGAACCGTTTTCACAGCGCACGCAACGGAAGACTACAAAGATTTTACACATTTACCACTATATCTTTGCTCCTATTGGTCGTAGCGTGATGTTATATAGCTTATAACCTTCCTCGATAACTGGACTATCCAACACAAAAAGAATTAATCAATTCGAACCAGTAGTTTCGGAGATTAGCGCGTTCAAACAAAGAAACAAACAAACTCTTCAGCTTTATAATATTAGTATAGATGCCATCCTTCGAAAGTAGCTAAAATTATAATGATCCTGAAACCAGGCAAAAGCCCAGAAGATGCCAAATCCTATCGGCCATTTACCCTACTCCCAATTACAATTACATCCAAATCAACGAGTTCTACTCTGTATCTCCTTGATACCGCAGACTTGCCAATATCTGACGATGTTGTTATGGGTACATATGCTGATGACACAGCTTTCATGGCATCAGATGACTCACCAATACAAGCTTCCCACAAACTACAGAACATCCTGGACAAGATCACAGAATGGCTAAGAGACTGACGCATCAAAGCCATTGAAACGAAATCAGTTCAAGTAACTTTTACTACCTGGCGACAGGCTTGTCCCCCAATTACACTGAATGCCGTCCAGCTCCCACTTTGACGAAGCAAAATATATTTAATATATTATAAATACCATATATTTAATATACCAACGCCTAACAGGGAGAAAACTCATTTTACCAAAGCCTAGCAATGGGGCACCAAGTACGTAAGATGTATTGGTTGATGAATAGCAACAGCCAGCTGTCCGTGGAAAACAAACTTTTGTTATACAAGAGTATAATAAAACCAATATGGACATACGGGATACAGCTATGGGGCACGGCTGCCAACTCTAACCTTGAAATCTTAGAAAGGTTTCAATTGAAAATACAAAGGACAATAGTAGAGGCACCATGCTATGGAACTAACCAAACACTTCACCGAGAGCTTGACATCTCAAGCGTAAAAGAGGAAATTAGGGAGTTACAACATATAAAGACAGACTGCAACTGCACCCTAACATACTGGCACACCACTTTATGGACGATATACATCGAAGCTCAAGGAGACTAATGAAATGAGTGCCACAAGGTTTAATTGAATTTAAATAACTCCACTAACAAATAATTTGCATTCAAAGCACAAGAGAAATGTATTCGAACTATATGTGGACTTCAACAGACTGATTCATGCAGAGCGGAAGTCAGAAGGTTAAAGATCCAAACTCTGGCATCAATGTATGGATTGAAAGCAGCCTCAATCACAAAGAGTGAATTCAGTAATTGAGAAACAATGATACATACAAGACACAAAAATGAACTAAAGTTAGCTAAAAGTAGGACAGTTCAGTTCAAATCAGGAATACTTTGGATGAGTGTAAAAATTTGTAATAAATTACCAGATTCTATCAAATCCGCTCAAACATTTGCTTCTTTAAAAACAAAGTTAAAGCAATATTGATACAGAAAGTATACTAAATCAATCAATTTTTAAATGACCAATGTGTCTGATAACTATTAATTATTATATTGTCTTCATTATTTTGTGTTATATGTTAGTGGTTTGCTTTTCCTTTTGACATATTATTACTGTGTACAAATAGACATTAACTGTGAACATACCAATAAATTCGTAAATGACAAAGGTTTTAACTGAATAAAAATTGTTTTATACTTCAGTGAAGCAATAACTATGACAAACTTCAAATAATGTGTATATTCAATTATTTATATTCTTTGGCACTTAACTATTCTATCGTTGCTCTGGTTATTCTGTGTACTACAAGGAATTTGCTTTTTGACATATGTTTGTAAATAAAGATTGTATACCCCACGGGTATGTTAGTGATACTAGTCTAAACTATAATTTTAAGAGCTGAACTTACACATGTGATAATCAATTTCAAAGCAGGTCGTCACAAAATTTACAAAAAACTTTTCTTTTTGTTTCTTGCAATTGTCACACCCATTCATTAGAAGTCATCCGACATTTAATTTTTGTAAACAATAACTAATATTAACCATTCTAAAGAGGTACAATCTTCTTCTATCAAACTCAAACTCTTTATTTGTCTCTTTATCTGTGAACAACATCCTGTATCTCTGGAAGGAGCTACATCCAATGTCCCGGCTCGGCACAGTTTGGATGTTTGTAACAATTTTATAAACTGGATCACAGTGTTTGGGCACAATAAACATTATTTGTATGTGAGTTAAAGAGAATGGCGTACTTGCACAATGCGGAGCTGTCCTTGGGGAAGATGGAGGGAGCGTAGTCCACGTCGGCCGGCGCACGCGACGGCGCGCCCGACACGAAGTGCTCCGCACACACCGCGCTCTGCGGGCGCTGCCGCCACCACCTACCACTGCACACACACACACATTACTCCAGTGCACTACAGTAACATCAGATACAGACTTTAGAAACCACGTTACACAATATTGGATTGGAACCGAACCCCGACGCGCTGTACCCAAATATTGCACCTACTACATAGTGACAACAGGCCACGCTCCAGCAATGTATCTAACTATAATGTCACGTACTTGGCGGTCTGGATCGCCATCAACCATTTGGTTGCTTGATCCCCATCTTTCTTGCCGTCCGGGAACTTGTAGAACTTCAAGTCACTGTTTGTTTGTGTGTTTGTACAGAACACAAAGCAACAACTCTGTTCTTGCTGCGTCGTCTCGCTCTCCTCGGACAATCGTAATTGACGTACGCGTTTCTTATTAAAATTTTTAAGTGTTTGCGTTATCTTCATGATTCTAATATATAAATCTAATGTCAGTTTTACATATAATAATATTATTCTTCAATTTCACAAATATTCCATTTTCGACAGGCTGACTGAGACTGACAAGTGACACTTGACATCTTGACATCAATAACATGAGTAAATACTTATCAACATGCATGACAGCATCACGACAGTGACACCAACAGTCGTAGTTTGGTGTTGCTAGCTTCGACAAACTTGCATTAATTGGATTATTCAACTCCACCGTTGACGGCACGTTGACGGTCCCAAACCCGTAAGTAAAAGGAGGAGGCTTATAATTTCTAATTATAAGTTTGAAATTACCAACCCACATTGAGCTAACGTGGTGATTAATGCTCAAACCTTCTCCCTGTGAGAAGATGCCTTCGGTCAGCATTAACCACTTACAAACTGTTAATCATGATGATTTCACTAATTCGGCTTACTTATTTTATTTTTATTTTACAATTTTAGGAAAACTTACAGATAGGTATAACATAAGCATAGATTAAATTATAGATAAACGGCCAATAACAAGATTCCGCTAAAGTACTGTACCATGTACCTAGCTAATTAAGCTAGTGACATCCCTAACATTTGCAACGTGTGAAAAAGGCCGTTAAGCTGTGCCTGTTGTTTCATAAGACCTGTACCTATTTATACATAATATATTACCTTAACATGCAAATAAAGACTTTGAGTTTATTAATACTTTAATGCACACAAAAATAAGGTACATGCGGCGGAGTTACTGCCACGTGGCACTCTCTCCCAGTCAACGTTTGGGTTCAATATAGAGTCAGCGAAAATAGGCTTATGTAATATGCAAAAACAAAACAAAATAAAGAAGTAATACGTAGTAATTATAAATACTGTGTAATATATTTGACGAAGACACGAACTCAGCGTAGTAGCGTCTTCAAATAGGCCTCACGAACACTACGTTTAAAAGCAGTAGCGCACTTACGTGCGAACTACACGCTGTCGTCTTGTAACTAGCCTTGTAACGCGGCTCAACACATAAACTCAAACACGTAATTGATATTCGTGATTCGCTAAAATTCCAATAGGAATCACGAACCCTCCTGCGGCTCCACCCCCTAGCACTACGGCGACTCTCACCGATACGGCGCACACGCACACGCATGCCATTCAGTTTGTGCCTTGGCACTGCCGGGGGAGGTTGTTAGCGAAATTATTTCGCATGGCCTTGAACTTATCGTGTCACTAATTATTATCAAAGTTCGTAGTTCAGTGTTTATGTGTTAATGATAACAGAAAATTAGTCGAGATAGTTATTAGTTGCAGTAAAAACAACAAATACTTTTTGGCGGGAAAATCATCGAATGACTGCTCTCGCCTGGGCGAGGCGGGGGCGGGAGGGAGTGTCAGACTCTTACTGACTAAAAACCACCCGGTTCCTACTCCTGCACTTCGAGTCGGAGCCCTGACAACCCGTTAAGTTCTTCGCGTTGAATACAACCTATAGCGAGCTATTCGCAGCGTACCTAATCTTCCAACACAGCCATGACATGACAGTCATGCATGCTGGCCGTTGCCCAGAGACTGCAAGTGATCAGTGCTTGAAACATATTAAAAACAAGTGCCGTGGTGTAGCATAGTCCAATCAGTGACGTAGTGCATAACTGTGTTGCTGTGCCTAGGAAGATTACGAAGATGGAGACTACAAACGAAATCTCCGACTGACACAGGTAGATGTGTAATTTATTTACTTGTACATTCCGTCTCTAAAGACACTAAGTTTTAAATTATTTGTAGGTCAGCAGGATACGCATTTAGTATTACGAAATACGAATCAGCTGATCAGCCCATCAGCTGATAACTACTGTAGGTATCTACGCGGAATATGAATTCATGATTAGTAAAGAACAATTTAATTCAACCGACTTAATACACGAATGAAACTTTGAACTGAACTTAAGTACCTACAATGCGTTTTTACTTAAAATCATGCTCTAAAACAGCTGATCGCTTGACGGCTTGAATCCTACCTAAGTACTTACTTAAGTAGCTAGCTATGTGTTTTCATTATTCAGAACTTAAATTACGAAGTTTAAAATATTATTAGAACCTATCTATTCATTGTCAGGATTGCAATAAAAAGTAATAAGTAAAGCAATAAGTACGTGTTATGTATGACTCTACATGTTCATCAAAAGTTCATGATGCATGAACTTTTTAGAAGATAGGTGTAAGGTCCAGTTAGATACTTACACTGTAGTTTTGTGGTTGTAGAAGGTGTAGTAGCTCGCAGTAAAGATCACAAGTTATAGTTGCTAGTTGCGTGTATTAAGTAAAAGTTACAATTAAAGTTGTTGTATTCCTTTGCTTGACGTTGTTCGGTAGATAAAGTACTACTACTAAGATTACTATAATACGTTAAATTATATATATATGCTATGTTTTGTCTGACGCGCATTCAATATTGCTGCGTCGACTAAGGATACTATACGTGCTATGTGTGGTTATGAAACCGTACAATATACGTGTGCGTCCTACACTTTCATTGATTGTTTTGTTCTTTGCTACACACTGACCATTGTTTCTGCATTCAAGGATTATTAAAAATTGTATTATCAATTAAAAATCATTAATGTAAGTATTTACGACATTATTGGTTGTCTCTTTCTTAAGTAAGTAGTACCGTGGGACATCGCGTGGCCCAGGTAAACGAGTAACGAGCCCAGGAAACCAACGCTCTCGCAGCTTGTCGGTGGCCGGGCCGCGCTGGACCCGATTCTCCGGGGCCGCACTGCGCTGTTTCTTTGGCTGCTTTTCGGTGTCCGGAAACAACCTCCGGACCGCAGCAGAAAGGGTCGGCGACTCGGGATCGAGACTGCCGTACAAGTACGGCGGGGGGAGAGATAACAGCAAAAGGAGCACCCGGCTCTAAAATAAATAGGTGCTGTATCCCTGTAAAAGGGGATCGAGTGGCCAAAATTTAAAATTGTTACCTGTATAGAGGGGTTGTCTGTTCGGGGCGGTAACGGGATCATAGCGCTATCAACATTTTATATTAAAATAATTCATAATTAACACGAGTTGTCCCAGCGCTCGATAGATGGCGTTGGGATCGAGTTAGATGGCGCTATGGTTTCGTTACCGGGATTTATATAGGGTACGGACAAATTTTATCTACGGTGTGAGCAGCAAGCATTGTAATTGTTATATTATACGCGATTAGTATATCAGTACAGTGTATTATTCATCCACCCTCTCCAAGTCGACCTTCGTTCATGGTCCTTCGAGCCGGATTGGTCGGGAGTGTTTGTGGTTCCGGTGGTGGTAAAATACCATCCTTCGCGTCATTACTGGGCAGTGGATCGCTGTCCAGAGCATCCCCTCAAGGGGTACCAGGTGAGAGGTATCTGGAGTACCCTGGAGGTGGAACCGGAAGGAGCCGGGAGTCGTTGGCGGTGCGTGGTGCAGCATCGCTGATGGTCGGCGAGCATCCGGAGGGACGACGCAAGGGCTGCTCATCAGTTCGTGGTCAAGCAGGCAGACGGCGCCACTTGTGTGGTGCAGTGGAGACGTCGTGACGCGACAGATGTCACAAGTGTCAGTGAGTGAATGAGTGGAAAAATCGTGAGTACTTTCAACCTTATTAATTCAGGAAGAATCTAATAGAAAAAGTAAAAAGTGCATTCAAAATTAAACCTTAAATTCAGTAGAAAATTAACTTAGTCTCATTTGTGTGTAATTTCGGACTTGTAATAATTTTAAGGAAAAAGTGGTTGAGACGGGGAACCTATGCCCGATTTTCTATAGAGGTTACACTCAAAAAGACTTGTAATATTTTCATGATAAATAAAAAAACTTGTAAAAATTTAAGATTTGTGTTCGGAAACTAGTGGAAATTAAGTTTAGCATAAATAATTATAATTTTTTCTATTTCTATTTGTGTAGATGAAAGATTGTTGTATTAGTTATCTGTTTGTAATATTCTGTGTAAAAAATGGATTTATTTGTGGGTATCCAGGAAGATGTTAAAAATAAACTTGAAAGGTCTATGGTTAACTTTAAGAAATGTCCTAAAGACCGGCTTACAGTATCTTATATTGAGACAAGGTTAGAAAATTTAGAACAACAATGGCAACTTTTTTATAATACTCACGTTAAAATATTAAACCAAGTTAAGAAATCCGATTTGCAGAGTTCGAAGTATCATAAAGATTGTTTTTATGAGGAGGTCGAAGATTTATATGTACAATTTAAAAGCACTCTAAAGGAATTAATTAGAAATGATAGTTCAGGTAAAGAAAAATGTTGTAGTTCGGGACTTAGTGGTTGTAGTAAAACATACAATAATTTTAAGTTGCCAGAAGTCAAAATACCAATGTTTTCCGGTAAATACAACGAATGGTTGACCTTTCGAGATTTGTTTTTGGGGTTGATACATAATAATAGTAGATTAGATGATGCACAGAAATTATACTATTTGAAAGGATATTTAACTGGGGAAGCGGAACTGTTATTAAGAAATGTAAATGTGACTTCGGATAATTATGTTACTAGTTGGGAGAAGTTAGAGTCCATGTACAATAATAAAAGATTCTTGGCAAATGGTATGGTAAAATGTTTATTTAATCAAAAGGCTTTAACTGGAGAGTCCGCAACAGATATTAAAAAACTTTTGAGTACAACATCGGATTGTTTGGAGTCAATAAAAAATCTCGATATAGATCTTGCATCATTTTTAATTGTTCACATAGTTACTGAAAAATTGGATACGGTTACTAGAAGAGCCTGGGAGTTAAAAGTAGCGTCAGATCCAAAGGATGATCTTCCTACTTTTGATCGACTTAAAGAATTTCTAGTTAATCGGTTTCGGGGTTTAGAAAATATAGAAACTAAAGTAGATAGGGTCTCAAAAGCTACACGGGCGTTTCATGTGATTAAAGATAAGAAGATATCTTGTGCATTTTGTACAGGTGAACACAAAATAAGTTCATGTACAAAGTTTATAAAAGAAAGTACTCAAAATCGGCGTAGCTTTGTTCAACAGAACAATTTATGTTATAATTGCCTGCTTAGCAACCACTCTGTAAAATTTTGTAAAAACACTCTCAAATGCCAAGTGTGTAATCGCCGCCACCATTCATTGTTACACCCGCAGGGTGTTGTAGGGTCGAAAGTTGGTGAGGGTAGTGGTGCTGCAAACCAAGGGTCTGAAACAAAGGTAGTCTCATGTCTTGCGACAGGAGGCAATAAAACTATCTTACTAACTACAGCCTTAGTAAAGGCTGAGTCGAAGAATGGGACTTACCATACAGTTAGGGCGTTACTGGATCAGGGATCCCAGGGTTCTTTTATTACAGAGTCTCTGGTTCAGTATCTAGGGTTGAAGAAAAGATCTTCGAAAAACAAAGTATTGGGGGTGGGAGATAAGGGTACAACATCAACGGCCGTAGTGGAAATAAAGCTTCAATCTAGAATAAATCCATCGTTTCAAATAAGGGTTAACGCCTACGTTCTTAAGTCGGTAACATCGCTTCTTCCATCGGCTAAAGTAGCTAGGGTAGAATGGGTGGACTTGAACGAATTTGAATTGGCTGATCCGGAATACTTTACTCCTAATAAGATCGATGTTCTATTGGGCGCTGAGGTATACAGTGAAGTCATTCAGCAAGGTGTTAAAAAGAATATAAACGGGACTCTATTAGCGCAAGAAACCACTTTGGGATGGATATTATCAGGTGCGTTTGATGTTGATCAAGAAATAAATTCTCACTCAAAAATTACCGTGATGCATACCAGCGTCCAGGATGACGAATTGAGAAAATTCTGGGAATTGGAAGAAACACCTGGAACAAAAAGGATGCTCACGCAGGAGGAAACCAAATGTGAAGAATTGTTCACAGCAACGACGACAAGGGATAAAAATGGCAGGTACATAGTGAGATTGCCATTACGGGATACAAATCTGGTTGGTACGGGCGGCGAATCCAAAGGGATAGCTGAAAAAAGACTTAAGGGATTAGAAGCAAGGTTAGCAAAAAATAATAAATTAAGGGCTGACTACGCAAACGTAATACAGGAGTATTTAAGTCTTAACCACATGGTAGAAGTACCTGAAAGAGAAAAAAATAATAAAAAGAGTGTTTACTTACCTCATCATGCTGTTGTCCGGGAGGATAAAGATACAACCAAGGTGCGTGTTGTATTTGATGCATCATGTAAGCGTAGCAACGGGAGGTCACTTAATGATGACTTGATGGTTGGTCCGTCATTGCAAGACGAGCTTCGTCATATTATTATGCGCTGGAGAACACATAAGATTTGTATAGTGGCTGACATAGTAAAAATGTACCGGCAAGTTTTAGTTAATAGGGAAGATACTCCAATGCAACGGATACTTTGGCGGGATAGTCCTGAAAGGGAAATAAAGGAGTATGAGTTGATAACCGTTACATTCGGTACAGCCTCGGCACCATACTTAGCTGTACGGACTCTTCAACAGGTTGCAGTTGATGAATGCGGGGATAATCCAGGCATTGCTAAAATAATCATTAACGATTTTTATATGGATGATTTGATGTCAGGAGCTGAAACTGAAGAAGATGCTTTTAAAATTCACACAGAAGTAACCAAAGCACTAGCCAAGGGAGGATTTGAATTACAAAAATGGAAAAGCAATAGTCAACAATTATTGAATAAAATTAGAAATGGGAATGGTGAAGTGTTACAAATAAAAATAGATGAAGTAACAAAGGTATTAGGACTTACCTGGAATCCAAGTGAAGATTATTTTCAGTATTCTTTGAAACTCCCAATTTTTACTCAACCTATAACTAAGAGGAAAATTATTTCAGAAATATCACGTTTATTTGACCCTCTTGGGTGGTTAGCACCTACTATCATTTTAGCAAAGATATATATTCAGAAATTGTGGTTGGCTGGTTTAGAATGGGATCAAGAAGTTCCAAGCAATTTAGAAAAAGAATGGAATACTTACCAGAAGAATTTAACATCTGTAGTCCAATTGAGAGTACCTCGATGGATACACACGGGTTCGAATAATGTGAAAACTGAGTTGCATGGCTTCTCAGACGCATCGAAGCAAGCATATGCTGCTGTTGTTTACCTCAGAGTGATAGACGATTTGGGACGTATTCATACTTCTCTGATAACATCCAAAACTAAAGTAGCTCCTATTAAACAAATGTCCATCCCAAGATTGGAACTTTGTGGAGCAGTTCTTGTTTGTAAATTAATATCGAAAGTAGGTGATGTGATGGGAATATCAAAGGATGATTGGCATGTCTGGACGGACAGTGAGGTGGTATTGGCTTGGTTAAACGGACATCCATCTCGTTGGAAATGCTTTGTAGCCAATCGAGTATCAGAAATTTTAACTACTTTAGATACCAGTCACTGGGCGCACGTATCGACAAATGAAAATCCAGCAGATTGTGCATCGCGTGGTGCTTTTGCGGCTGAGCTTAACGGTAAGTCGATATGGTGGGAAGGACCGAGTTTTTTAAAGGATTCGGTGATCAAATACAGCAAACCTAAACATCTGGCTACGCATTTGGAAGAAGCTAAGATATACGCTCACACGTGTATGTTGGATGAGTCGTTTTGGAATAGATTTTCTACACTGTCAAGAATGGTACGAGTTATTGCTTATTGTCGTCGGTTTTTAAAGTCACAAAGGCAAGGAATCATGTCCAAATATCTAAAAAAACAAGAATTGAATGAAGCTAGAGAACTATGTATAAAAAAAAGTCAAGAAGAAGGTTTCGCAAGTCAATTGGAAGAATTAAAAGGAAATCAAACCCCAACAACTGGAGGATTAAAGACATTGAATGTATTTTTGGATTCTAAAGGAATTATGAGGGTTGGAGGGCGACTTGAGATGGCCCAGCTGGATTATAATCGAGTTCATCCTATCTTAATACCTAAAAAATCTTTTCTGACGGGTCTTTTAATCGCAGAAGCGCATATAAAATCATTGCATGGTGGACCACAAATGATGATCACGTATTTACGGTCCAAATATTGGATAATAGGAGTTAAATTATTAGCTAAAAGGCATGTCAGAGAATGCGTTAAATGCATTCGTTACGCGTCTATATTTAGAAATCAATTGATGGGACAGTTGCCACCAGCACGTGTTACTCCTAATAAACCATTTTTGAGTAGTGGAGTAGATTACGCTGGTCCTATTAATATAAGGGTATCACCAGGTCGAGGCAACAAGTCCTACAAGGGATATATTGCTTTATTTGTGTGTATGTCCACCAAGGCAGTACATTTGGAGGCAGTCAGTGCACTGAGCACAAGTGCCTTTTTAGCTGCCTTTAGAAGATTTGTGGCCAGACGGGGTCGTTGCGCTGAATTATATAGTGATAACGGCACTAATTTTGTGGGTGCAGCACGGGAGTTGCTGTATTTATTTAATCGGGAGAAATCTGGTTTTAATTCGGAATTGGTTGAATATCTGGGTAATAATGGTACAGAATGGCATTTCGTCCCTCCTCACGCACCGAACTTTGGGGGTTTGTGGGAGGCAGGCATAAAATCTACTAAGTACCAACTCAAACGGGTAATAGGAAATTCTACCTTAACTTATGAAGAGATGGCCACAGTATTGGCTCAGGTTGAGGCTTGCCTTAATTCAAGACCATTGTCTTACGTTGAGGATCAAGATAAGTTTACCATATTAAGTCCTGGCCATTTTCTTATTGGAGAACCACCAGTTTTACCCCCGGATTCGAATTATGAAAAGGTCAATAATGTTAATAGTTTAAGACGTTGGCAACTTCATCAGAAGATAATGCAAGATTTCTGGCGGCGTTGGTCTAATGATTATTTACAACAATTTTTACAGCGACATAAGTGGGCTCATAAAAATCCAGAACCATCTATTGGTGACATTGTTTTAATTAAGGAGGATAATATGCCTCCAGCAAGGTGGTTAATGGGAAAAATTGAACAAAAACATCCGGGTCCAGATGGACTGACTCGAGTAGTAACTGTACGCACTCAATCGTCAATGTTTAAAAGGCCGACATCAAAATTATGTATTTTGCCAATTTGCCAGGAATCTAATGAAATTTAGTATAATTAACCTGATAAGTTGAGATATTAATTTAATTGTTACTTAGAAGTTTTAATTTTTGTTATTGATTTTAAAGTTTATGTAACGGGTTGGGAATTGTTTAAGTTTATGTTTTAGTGGAATTATTTAAGCTGGTTTATACTTATACATATTGGAGCCGCCAAGGACGGGAGTTGCCATACTGGGTAGTGAATTGTGATATGGCACATTTGTTATGGTGGGCGGTATATTAAGGACATTTATTGGGAATATGTCCTTGGTGGGCGGTATGTTCGGGGCGGTAACGGGATCATAGCGCTATCAACATTTTATATTAAAATAATTCATAATTAACACGAGTTGTCCCAGCGCTCGATAGATGACGTTGGGATCGAGTTAGATGGCGCTATGGTTTCGTTACCGGGATTTATATAGGGTACGGACAAATTTTATCTACGGTGTGAGCAGCAAGCATTGTAATTGTTATATTATACGCGATTAGTATATCAGTACAGTGTATTATTCATCCACCCTCTCCAAGTCGACCTTCGTTCATGTCAGTAAACAAAAATGATAGATTAAGTAGTAAAATATAATACCTACCCTGTATAGGGGGTCACATAAATGATAACTTATAAGCCTAAAATTGGACTTTCAAATTTTTCTGTGACACGTCGGTTTTCTGAAATAATTTTGAATTTTCAGTAAAAGACGAGTATTTTCACCAAATTTTAGTCAATAACGAGGATTTCTAGTAAAACATCAGGAGTTTGTGAGGCAAAAACCTATCCGAATCGTGGACTATGAGTCACTGTTGATGTGCTGCGAATTTTGTCGCTCTAGGTCAAATATGAAAAGAGTAGATTTTTTTTTTAATAAAATATTTTCTTAAACTTTGCAATTTGAATTTGAGGAAGTTTCACGTCCACACTGTGATGATGATCATCATTACAGCATGAAGCATTGTGAACGGAGTTGCGAAATTCGTTCTGAGATCATAAGTCTGAGTTGGTGAACCGTTCGGTTTGGGCATGTCCGCCAACACCGCGCACCTAAATTATTGGCCTGTTTTAGTTTTAGTTTTAGTTATATAATTTACGTTTTATCTCTTAATTTTTCTGTTTTTATACTTCTTTATATTTATGTCTTTTCTGGCGTGCATGTCTTATGCCGAATAAATGTATTTCATTTCATTTCATAGATGTGGCCTTCACCTTCTGCCAGATCGTAGGCGAGGAACTGATCACTTAAGCCTTAAGTGCGGATTTAGGGTAAGGGTTAGGTCTGCTCGGGTTAGGTGTGCTCGGGTTAGGTCTGCTCGGGTTAGGTGTGCTCGGGTTAGGTGTGCTCGGGTTAGGTCTGCTCGGGTTAGGTCTGCTCGGGATAGGTCTGCTCGGGTTAGGTCTGCTCGGGTTAGGTGTGCTCGGGTTAGGTGTGCTCGGGTTAGGTTTTTTTTTTTTTTTTTTTTTTT